CCTGTAATGAGTAGGAAAAAATGCTGTGTGGTCATGGGGAACTTCAGTTTGAGCAACACATGTGAGAAGTCTCATGATGCCCCTGCAGCTGGTGCCGCTGGCTCCAACCACTCAAAGCAGCAGTCCCGGGGGAGGCGAGAGCAGCTCCCCATCAGCAGCTCCCAGCAACTAGTGCTGCTGGGCCCAGCCCCCCACCCGAGAAACAGGGGCCCCCTGGGGTGTCCCACCCACCAGTGCCCCCCATCCCCAAGATTTAGTCAGGGGTATAAGACAAAAAAACAAACTCTGTCCTTGGAGACAGACAAGCAATTCCACTGCCTTCAATGGGAGCCGAGTGCATGGTCTAATGGCAGAACAGCCACCTAAAGATGCAGATAGGTGACTTGGGAGCACTTATAGGAGCAGCTATTGGCCCCAGCTGAGATCACAGCCCCATTGTGCCGGGTACGGCGCTGACACGCAATGCGACAGTCCCTGCCCCACACAGCTCACAGGCTCAATAGACAAGAGAGACACAGGAAGGGTTATTATCTCCATTTTAAAGAGAAGGAAACTGAGGCCCAGACAGGTGAAGGAGTCAGTGTCAGAGCTAGAAGTGAACCCAGGTCCCAGTCCTGTGCCTTACACATCAGATCATCCTTCCTCTCAGCGCAGACACCCGGGGGCAGAGAGAGGAGCAATGGGATGAAATTAAGAAAAGGACGTTTGTGGGTGATTGGCCCCAATTCTGATCTCACTCACATCGATGTGAGTTCGGGGTGAGTCCCCTGAAGCCAGTACAGCCTCTGCATTTACAGCAGCGCACCTGAGATCAGACTCTGGCCCAGTGTCAGGAAGAACAGCCTGGCAATGAGATCTACCAGGCCGGGGAATTGCAACCTCTTGGGGGAAGGGCGGGAGCCACAGTTAATGCTAGAGCCCTGAGGGGAACAACCCCGCCCTGGGCCCCAGTATGGGAGGGAAACGGATTAGATGGTCCAATGCCAGTCACCTTCTCCACCTCTGCTTTCCATGATCCTGTCCCATAGCTCCACTTGCTGCAATAGCCGCCCAGCGTGTAGAGCAGTGATACTCGGACCTCAGTGGCTCAGGCTTAGAGAGTGAATTCATTGTTTCATTGACTATAGTACTATTCATATTGAAACAGTGTGATGGGAAATATGTAGTTTTATATCCATATATATAATTCTCACAGCAAATAATTGAGTAGCTTACTGTAAGTTGATAACTGAAAGGGTTAATAACATAGTAAAAGCATCCAGATTGGTTAATAACTTAGAGCTGCTAATAATTAAATCACCGTGTTTTCATAGCATGTGCTGCAAAGAGCTGCAGGAGAGACATTAAAGAGCCTCTTGCAGCTCACAAGCGGTAGTCTGAGAATCACTGACTTAGAGAGACGATAGCTCCGGAGCAGTCCCACGTGGGGCAGGCTGTGTGACACCTCCCCTCCCTGCTGCGGATTCAGGGACTCAGCTAGCACCGCCGTTCGCAGATCCAGTGCTCAGTCCTGGAGCAGATGGCATCGTTCCACTTCCCGTTGAAGCGCAGGTGGACACAGTCCTCCCCGTGCTGCCCAACATTGTTGGGTTCCCCGGGCCCCCAGAACCTGAGAAGCAAACCGAAGCCCCTTGGAATTAGAGGTGGGTATGGACGTTCTAAAAGGAAGGTGGGGGAACCAATAACTTTGGATGGAAGAAGAACAGGAATACTTGTGGCACCTTAGAGACTAACAAATTTATTAGAGCATAAGCTTTCGTGGACTACAGCCCACTTCTTCGGATGCATATAGAATGGAACATATATTGAGGAGATATATATACACACATACAGATGGGAGTTGTCTTACCAACTCTGAGAGGCGTCTCTCTTTGGAGTCTGTTTTTGAAGTTTTTCTGTTGTAATATAGCCACCCGCAGGTCTGTCACTGAATGACCAGACAGGTT